GTGAGTTGTAAATAATTCTCATGTGAGATTCATAATGATAAGGGGGGGTCAACCTCTCCAATGGTTGTTGCTTTGAGGTTTTGGGGGAGCCGCAATAATAGTCACCTTTGTCGAACAAGTGCTCAAGGCATTTTCCCGCACAGCTCTTATCGCCCCTGCCTGTTTGAACTGCGATCTGCCATGGCAGCCGAACTGAAGGCTGAGATTGAGGCCAGGGTTGAAGAAAGGAGGCAATTGGCAACTAGTGAGCTGCTATATTTAGAAAGGGATACTACAGCTGTATATAAATTAACGATCTTGAATGTCGTTTATCATATTTGTTTTATGGCATGACAGAATCACACCTGATTGAGGCACTGGTCGCAAAGATCTCTGACAAGGCAGCAGGCCAATCAGCTCTTGAAGGCTTGGCCAAGATTGCAGAGGAGAAAGGCCGGCCAGCCGAGCCTTTCTTGGTGTCCGCCTTCCCAAAGATCCTGGAGGCCTCCAATGATAAGTCCAAGAACGTCAAGGATGCGGCGGTGGCCACCAGCAAGACCATCATGGGTGTGGTCTCACCCTTTGCGGTGGAGATGCTGCTGCCAGCCTTCCTGAACGGCTTGGCGGTGAAGGCCAAACCACCCCAGAAAGAGGCCACTTTGCAGATTATCTTTGCCTTGGCTCAGAAGGCACCCAGGGCGGTTGGCTACTTGCTGGTGAACTTGGTGAGCCCCGTAGCGGATCTCACTTGTGACATCAAGAAGGAGGTGAAGCAAGCAGCCTTGGAATGCATGACCTCAATTTGCAACTGCACCGGCAATAAGGACAGCTTTGTGTTGGATACATCCAGACAACTTCCATAATGTTTGTAGATGACACATAGTGTCAAAGAAGCATAAATATGTATATATATATACTCGTAATGTAATATAAATATATATATATATATTGAAATCCTTTTGGGATTTGGATTAGGGTCAGCGGTTGTTGGAGGCATGTTGGGATGTCGGGACTATGACAGGACTTGGAGCCTTTCCTTCCTGCTGTGGTGGATGCCGCTTCCTCCATCGACAAGACTCACAGCTGCGTGGAGAAGTTGGCAGGATGCATCTTCGTGCAGAACGTGGAGGCGCCCGCTTTGGCAGTCACCATGCCAGTGCTCACACGAGGCTTGAACGACAAGAACGAGGAGGTGAAGCGCACCTGCTGTCAGATCGTCGACAACATGTGCAAGTTGGTGGAAGATCCTGCAGAGGTGCTGCCCTTGATGCCCAAGCTGGAGCCTTTGGTGAAGAATGTGTGCGAGAAGATTTCTGACCCCGAAGCCCGAGGAGTGGCAGAGAAGGCCTACAAGACCTTGCAGAAGGCAGCTGGAGAAGGAGCTGAATCCATCCAATTGGTCTCAATGGAGGCTGCCAAGAAGCAAGTCCAAGATGCCCTGGGTGACAAGAAGGGCTCAGGAGAAGTCTATGAGGCTGAGCTGAGCCACGTGTCGGCCCTGGCAGCTTGTGCTGCAAACATGCGGGTCTTCGATGACAGTGCTTGGAAGAAGGATGTGGGATACTTGGCACCCTTTGATAGTGTCACTGAGCAGCTTCGTGCGAAGATGGAGGTGGCTGCCAAGCCCAAGGAGGAAGTCGAAGAGGAAGACACCGAGGGTGTAGACCTCTACAAGGGTGCTTTCTCTTTGGCATATGGAACTTTGACACTGCTGCGGGATGCCAAGATGCACCTGAAGAGGAATCGCTTCTATGGTCTCCTGGGTCCCAACCAGTGCGGCAAGACCACACTCATGCGTGCCATCGCCAATGAACAGTTGGAGGGCTTCCCAAAGCGAGATGAGCTGAAGAGCGTCTTTGTCGAGCATGAGATCGAGGATGAGGAAGTGGGTGTGCAGGACGATGGTTTCCCCATCCTCTCAGTGGACAAGCCGGGCTGGTGGTGGGTGGTTCACACCTGCAACGACGTCTACAAGCTGGAGCCTCCCGTGAAGGAAGACACTGTGAAGGAGCTCATGAAGTCCATTGGTTTCGGCTACCCAGGCGGCCCAGATCGTGCTGCCAACTTGGAGCTGCCTGTGACCTCCTACTCAGGTGGCTGGAAGATGAAGATGCAGCTGTGCGCTGCTCAGCTGATGAATGCAGATGTCTTGATGTTGGATGAGCCCACTGGTCACTTGGATGTCGACAACATCAAGTGGTTGGAAGATTGGTTGGAGTCCTTCTCTGGTTCCATCATTTGCACTTCTCACTTCAGTCCCTTCCTGGACAAGATGTGCACACACATCATCGATTTCCAGGACAGAAAGCTCAAGACCTTCAAGGGGGTGAAAGGAACTTGCTTGACTCAGTTCGTGGAGAAGTACCCTGAGAAGAAGGCCTACTTCGAGATCAGCAATGAGACCATGAAGTTCGTATTCCCCGAGCCCGGGCCTTTGGAAGGTGTCAAGAGCCGCAGTAAGGTCATCCTCCGCATGAACAATGTGAGCTTCACATACCCCACCAAGGACAGGGTTGCTCCCATTTATTGACGGCCAATGAACAGCCAGAGGGAAATTTCGGAAAACACAACATTTGTAGCCATGATTTTCCCAATGGCACCCCTCCCGGCACCCTCCTGCACACCATGATCTCAGGGTCCCCACCAAGGAGAAGCCGACCATCATGGACGTAAGCCTCACCGTCTCACAGGTGAGCCGCGTGGCAGTGATCGGCGCCAACGGCGCGGGGAAGTCTACTGCCATCAAGGTCTTGGTGGGAGAGCAGCTGCCCACGGAAGGCCCCAGGGCCCCGAACAAACGGACCACGCTACGCATCATGTTTGTTCAAAGAAAAAAGCATGAAGAAAAACATATACCTCTTCCGACCAAGCTTCAGTTATTTGGTTGGATGCGTTTTGTTTTTGTCCTCTTCTGTTCTTCAGTCTGTTGGACCAGACCTCAAGGCTCCATTTGGAAAGCACAGGGCCTGCGACTGGCTTACGTGGCTCAACACGCTTTCCACCACTTGGAGAAGCACATGCAGGAGACTCCAACTGCACCTCGGCCAACCAACAGACCGAACCTGTTACTGTTGGAACTGTTTTTTCCCATTTTGGGGTGTCGAAAATGCAAACCGCAATTGTGATTTGCTTGCAACAATCACAAACTTTTGAGCCGGGTTTGGTGTTGGGTGTTGGTTGCTGGTTGGACGACACTCTCGGATTCACTGCAGGCATACATCATGTGGCGTTTTGCGGGCAACGATGACCGTGAATCCTTGGAGTTCAAAACTGATGAGCTCTCGGTGGATGAAGAGAAGGCTCGTTCCCAGAAGTGGTGCATCGACAGCGTCACTGGGAACGTGCGACGCTGCACTGATCCCAAGGAAGATGCCAAGAAGGCCAAGCAAGATGAGGCTGGGGCCGTCATTCCCGATGCCATTGTGAACAGGCGCCAGAAGAAGAAGGAGAAGACCTTCGAGTACGAGGTGAAGTGGCAGTTCAAGAGCATGGATCAGAACGTTTGGGTCGAGAAAGACATCCTGGTGAAGATGGGCTACCTCAAGTTGGTGCAACGAGAAGATGAGCGACAGGCGGCCATGGCTGGTTTGATGACCAAGCAGTTGACCCAGCCTGGCGTCGAGAAGCACCTGGCGGACTTTGGAGTGGATGCTGAGAGCGCCTCCCACACTCAGATCAACCAGCTTTCAGGTGGCATGAAGGTGAAGGTGGTGTTGGCTGCGGCCATGTGGCAAAACCCCCACGTCTTGATCTTGGATGAGCCCACCAACTACTTGGACCGTGAAGGATTGGGAGCCTTGGTCTTGGCCATCAAGGACTACAAGGGTGGTGTGCTGATCATCTCCCACAACAAGGAGTTCTGCGACAACGTGGCCACTGAGAAGTGGATCATGCAAGGTGGGCGCTTGCGCATTGAGGGTGAGTCTGTGGACACTTCCAAGGATGATGGCAGTGCAGCTCAAGGACCGGATGAAGTCTTTGATGGAGCGGGCAACAAGATTGAGGTGAAGAAGAGCATGACCATGACCGAGAAGGACAAGAAGAAGGCCATCAAGGACATCGAGAAGAAGATAAAGGATGGCAAAAAGAAGCAGACCTTGACTGATGAAGAGGTTTGGGAGTTGGAGGACAAGCTCAACGAGCTGAAGGAAAACCTGAAGGGCAAGGAGTGAGTGCAGTGAGAACTTTCTCTCTAGCCGC